TACACAACTGGATAGTGACAGATTCTCTAGGAAGCACAGAGCCCTCATTCTTCCTGGCCTGCTTGGCCTGCTCCCTGCATCTGTCTGCAAACCAGGGAGGCTAGGCGCCTTTCTCCTCACTCCTCCAGACACTGGAGAGCATCTCCAGTCAGAACTACCCACCACAGTCCTGCAGGAAGTCCCAGGGGTGAGAGCAGCGGAGGAGCAGGATGGGGAGGAGGCAGGCTGACATTCATTGCTTACCTTGAACCAGGCACTGTGCTTTACAAGGATTATTTTAGTTAATCCTCAGAACAACACTATGAGGTGGGTATTGTTATTCTCATTATTTGGATGTCAGAAAATGAAGACTCTGAGAGGTCAGGTAACATGCTCATCTTCACACCCTTGGTAGGTGATGGGATGGAGATTGAACCTCACTGTCATTCCAGAGCTAATACTCTGAACCAGTGAGCTGCATTCTCCAGAGGTCTGCTTTGGTTGGAGAGGAGCTGGAGCCCTAGGCCCTGGGATGCTCTGTCCCCCATGACAAGGTGTGTGGCTGCATCTGCTTTCTTCAGCTCTCCAGATGCAGCAACCTAGAGGAGGCCCTGGGTCTGGTGGGGACTGGGGCAGGAGTGGAGGCTGCCCAAGCTCCAAGCACTCCACCTTCCAACTCAGAGCTTTTTGGGTCTATCTCCCAATCCTTTCTGTCTCCCTGGAGAGTCTTCTGAGAAGTGTCTGAAATGCTTCTCTCCACTCATGAGCTTCCTTTTTTGTTTTGTGGGGTTTTTTTTTTTTTGAGCCTGTTGCCCAGGCTGGAGTGCAGTGGCACAATCTCTGCTTACTGCAAACTCTGCCTCCTGGGTTCAAGTGATTCTCCTGCCTCAGCCTCTTGGGTAGCTGGGATTACAGGTGCCTGCCACTATGTCTGGCTAATTTTTGTGGAGACAGGGTTTCACCATCTTGGCCAGGCTGGTCTCGAACTTCCGATGTCAGGTGATCCACCTACCTTGGCCTCCCAAAGTCCTGGGATTACGGATGTGAGCTACTGTGCCCGGCCTTCAAGAGCCTCCTTTGTTTGAGAAGTTTCTTTAGAAATTACCTATATAGTAGTACAGACCTAGCCATTACAGCACACCATCCTCTGCTATCCAATGCATTGATGCCCAGCTGTAAGAAGTCTCAATGTTGTACATTTTTGGGAGAGTCCTCCATGCTGCCTGAAACAGGGAAGAGCACATTGTAATGAGTTGATCAGAATGGATCGCTGATCAGTTAATCGCCCCTCTCTCTGCCGCAGGAGAAGACGGGATCTCAGGAAGTCACCAGCATCTCACTTCTCCAGGTGGTCAATTAATGGTAGTGAGGGTACACCCTCACCCCTGAATGTGCCTTCTGTACCAGCATATAGCTCGTTGTCATATTTGATCAAGAGACTTAAGAGACTGCTGAGAAATTTTTACCTGGTTCTTACTCATTAAAATAGTATTACATGAAAATTTTACACACTTACCTGCATTTCCCCCACCTAACAGATCAGCTTTTATTTCCGTACCTCCTTCCAGTTCATCCGTAGGCATGTATGCGTGTATTTACCCATGGTTGTCATCTTCATCATTGCATGCATGCAATTTAGTTTTCTGCTCCCTTCTTCTAAGTGGATATTGTGACCATTTCTCCGTCCTGTCATAGAGACAAAGCTGAAGGTTTCCAGGAATGGCTGCATTGGGTAGGTGGAGCTTTCTACAGGTGTGTGGGGAGGGTGGGGGTTGGCTCACTACAGCTAGGAAGCCAGCACACAGATGAAATGATGTTTCATTTTTCTGTTTTTCTCTCTGTTCAGTATTCCCTACCAGCAGAGAGGGGCATGTCCTTGAGAGTGGTCCTGGGGCAGCTTTGGGCTGCAGGGAAGTAGCGCTGCTCAGTGGAGAGGGGTGCTTTGTGACTTTGCCAGCTGGTAAATGTCACGACACATTCTATTGTTTCCTCATTGTTCTTCTCCTTGGGAGTCATTCCCAGTCCAGATCCTCAAGTAAGAGCAAAGAATAGCTGTAAGGCACCTGGGAGACTATCCTGCGTACTATTTTTAAACTCTTTGACCTAAGTCATGAAAGAAGAAATGCATTTTATAACATAACTCAGGATACTTGTACAAGTATGTCAGACTGATACAAAATCTGCAAACACTATTTACTCTTACTACATGCAGTGAGCCCGATACTTTCTATCCTACTCTTATTTGGTTAAAGGAGAACAACAAAAAAATCCTGGTCACGACCCACACATGAATTTCATGACCCATTAATAAGTTGCAACTAGAAATTAGAAAAAACACTTACCCAACCCAACCCCTTATTAGACAAATGGGAAGCCAGGCCCTTGGAAAGAGGAAGTGACTTGCCCACAGTCACAGTCTGGACCTAGCTGGAGCGCTGATGTGGCCTTAGTAATGGACTAACCTGGAGGAGAGAGGGGGGCGTGCTCAGGGGTCCAGAGGAAGATGCTGGGCTCCTGTGCAGCAGGCGATGGAGGGGCAGCACGGCGCCATCCTGATCTCCAGCAGGTCTCCTGTCTGGTTGTGGGAACATTGCCCCTTTGGTGCCACTCTGAGCTGCTGAGAGACAGCCAAGTTCATGCACACAGTGTTCCCCAATTCTGTGGGATGGGACAGTGTCCCCCAGAGGACATTTTCTTAGTAAAACAAAAAGGGAGGTGAAGTCTCCCTGTGCAACCGTGCTCCTGTTCCCCCTGTGCTTGCTGGCTTCCAGAAGTTAATTCATATGCCAATAATAAGAACTGGTTTTGCTAGCAGTGGGACAGCAGAGATGGGCATGTGTGAGGGGTGCTTCCCGGTCTGAGGCCTGTGGCAGAGGGAAGGGAGGGCTGAGGATACTTTCCTGCCCCTTCCCTGGCAGATGCTCCCACCCGCGCCTTTGTGGGCTCAGGGCCATGGGCTGGCTGCCCCGCTTGTGTTATGAATGTCACAGGGGGGAGCTAACGAGGTTATTGGGCAGAGAAACACTCTCCTGTGACCCATGTGGAAGAGACCTACAGCAGAGCAAGAGGCAGGGAGGCTGGCTTTGTCACACCATCCATGGTGACAGAGAAAGCATAGGAGGGGCAGGGGGACAGCAGGCGTGGGCGCAGCACCATCACATTTGTCCCTCAAGAGGTGGAGATGGTAAAGGAAAAAAAGCCAAGGAGACAGGCAGATGGCCAGGTTTGCTCTGCATTCATGACGGGAGGGGGGGCTGTGCATGGTGTGGGGATCCACGGTGTCTGACAACACTGCTAACTTATGCTGGGGTGACGGGCTCACCATTAAAAGAGCTGCCGTAGAAAATGTGTGTGTAATAGAGCTTCACATAGGAAGAAGGGGAAATAAGAGAGGGGCTGGTTTTTGTAGGTTTAACCTGATTGTTTCTGCTGTAAGTTGAAGGGTGACCCACGGTTCCCTATATGCTCTGTCTTCTGCCCCCGTGTGCCCTTCCCGTGTCTACACACAGTAAGTTCACCGGAGCAATGCTGAAACTAGAAAGAGTACACTTCGGAAGACTTGCTGCTCTCCAGGACCGTCACTAGGGTGATGGCTGAAACTGTCCCCACGCTAAGGTTGTGTCAACACCAGCAGGGGCAGCTTACTTAAACTCTCAAAAGCCTCGGGGTTCTTACCCACAGCATTAGGGTGATGCTCGTGTGCACCTTCTGTGGCTGATGGGTGAATTAAACAGGACGTAACATGTAGCGAATTGCATATAGTGGTCATTGGGAGCTGTCAGCAGCAGTAATGGGGAAGTTGGCTGCTTTATTTCCCCTTGATGGACCAAGCAGCTGCTGGGTCATGGTCACCCAGCCCCTCTGGGGAGTGCTCAGAGAAAGACAAGGGGTCTGGTCTTCTAAGAGGAACCCTCTAGCACACAGGAGCATCCTCTGTATTTGCTGTCAGAAATGGCAGTGGTTGGGATTCAAGCCTCTCTGATTTATTATCCTCATTCTGCACCTCTCTGTAGCAAGTCACATTTTCTTCTCTTAGCAGTAAAATAGCCCTTCAGGCTCATGAGTCATAGCACTGACACCAAGTCACCCATCTGATTCGGACTCAATGGTTCATCTTGGGTGCTTAGAGCCCTATGTTAGGGTTAGAATCCCCTGCCGTAATGTTCTGAGATCCTTGCCGTTGGGCCAGAGGTTGGGAATTGGGTGGAACTCGGCCCCCACTCGCCCACTCCCTGCATTGCTGCTTCTCTCATTTCCTTTTTAAAATCAAATCTTTGTTTTGGGTCATATTAATCCTCGATGCCTGTCCAGAAACTATAGCAAAACCCCATCTGAATTAGCATTCTGCATAGATTTTTGCCTGATTCTCCCACCTCCTTGTGCTCTCCCTCCTTCTCTCATCTGGAGCCCCCGGTCTATCCCGTTTGCACAGCCCATGGGGTACCTTATGTGCACTGGTCTCAGGCATACTCTGCTCTGTTCCCACCATCACCTCTAGAGGAGACCATGGCTCACTCACCTTGCTGCCCCCACCAGGGTCAAGAATGTTACCTCTGACATGCTTAATATGACTGGGATTTGGGGACTGGGGACCTTGAATCCTCTGTGCATTTATTGTGTGCACTCAGATAAGCTGTCTTCCTTCCCTGCCTCAGTCTCCTCCATTTAAATCTGGAGCAGCCATGGTGATGGCAAATAAACACAGGGCCCCTTGTGAAAGAACTCAAGGGAGGACATGCCTGTAGGGCAAGGGGTCACTTGTGCCACTGGCCTGCTGCCATCCTGTTTCTGAGTCTCTGAAGTCTGGGGAGCTCGCGGATCCAAATTCGTTCTGTGCCCTGACCTTGTGCCTCTCATTCCTTGCAGACTTTAAGTTCGCCATGTACCCACCGTCGATGATCGCAACTGGAAGTGTGGGAGCAGCCATCTGTGGCCTCCAGCAGGATGAGGAAGTGAGCTCGCTCACTTGCGATGCCCTGACTGAGCTGCTGGCTAAGATCACCAACACAGACGTGGTAGGTGGCCTCCACCATCTTGGCTGAGACCAGATGTCTCTTCTCAGCTCGGGGAAAGAGACGGCGGGTTTGATTATGTCGTGTCAGGGGTATTTTTGGGGTTTGTTTTCTGAGATCAACATCCAAGGGAGTACAATGTAGTTCAGCAGGTGACACCCCCCTCTTAAGATTCTGAAAGACTGTGCACCATAAAATACAGAAGAAAACTCAGGAAGCAGATGCAGGGGCGGGCGGAGGGCTGTTTACCCATGTTCCTCTATGGCGTGGGCTTCCCAGTGGGTCTGAATTGTGGCTTCATTGCCATATTTGTACACGCTGCTGGGCTGCCTCTGCCCAGCAGCATTAGAACTGCCGTGTCTGCTCACACACACTGAGGCTGTAAGGCACAGAGAGGAGGAAGGAGAGCCAGGACTCAGCTGCAGTGGACAGAGCAGACACACAAGAGGTGCCCCCCGTGAGAACGGTGTCTGTCCTTGGCAGACCTCTCGACCCCTCCCCGCTCCCTCTTCCCTTTTGTTCCATGCAGCCGTGGATTACAAAGTGCTTTCAAAAGACAAAGTCCCATACAAACTCAAGAAATTATTATTAGCTTCGGAGCTTCCCCATTCTGCGTGCCCTGGGGACAGCCCAGAGGCTGTTACTTCCTGTTGCCAGAATTTGGAGCTCCTGAGAAGAAAGGTTTTGAGAGAGACCAGGGTCAAAGGAGACTCTGAATTCAACTGGTAGGAAGCTGCAGTCCTAGAGCGTCCCAGCCAGGATGGTGCTGAGAGATCGGAGAGGCAGTTCCTTCATTTTCCACGGGCAGGACACGGGCTATAGTAACCAGCCGGGAGGGGGGCTGTGGCAGAGCTGGGACTAGAACGCCCAAACTCCACCTGCCCCTGAGAAACATTCCACCCCACCCTTGCTACCGCTCCTGGGATCTTTTGGCTTGAAAAAAACCTTGGGTTTAAAGGCAACCCAAGAGGGGGTTGTTGGCCCTGAGCCTTCATGCATCGCCATGGAGAGGCTGAAGAATGCAGAGCACTTCACGATGACACCCTCTGGATGGTCCAGGGGGATTCAGATGCCCTCTGCGGGCTTTTATTGAGTTAAGGGATCACGTGATTTACTGGCCTACGTCTGAGGCCTGCACAAGGGATACTGAACAGATGAAACCTCAGAGAGCCCACGGCTGCAGGTCACTGGCTTTCTCTCCTGCCCACCTGGATTTTTCCTGGCATTTGTTCCCAGCTCAGAGAAATGGAGCAGGGAGATGCTGACAGAGCAAATCTGAGGTCCTCCTTTGAGATAGTTCTTAGATACGGTCTTAAAATGCGGGCTCCAAACATAGCTTTTTAAACGAGGACTCCAAAACACAGCCTGAAAAGCTACCTCCAGTGCAGCGTGAAGAATGCTTTTCTAATCCTCCAGAGAAAAATCATGGACAGGAATTAACATTTATAGAAATGGTATGCTTTCTTCCTTTTCTGAATGTCTCCAGTTAAGGCTGCCTTACAAATAGGACTCCTAACCAATTTAAGACCAGCCCTTCCTCAAAGCCTAGAGACAAAAATGTCCGTGTTTGAGCGGCTCCCCTCCTCCTGCCCCCAGGCATTGGAACCTTTTCCCAATGTTGATAGACCTGAGGGCTGACCACCCAACTGTCTCCAGCCTTTTCCCACCTCCCTTTGTCCTTCCTGCCTTACGGATCTCAGGTGGACAGTGGTGTCAATTTCACTCCTGGGAGTTGCTGCTAAATCTCTTGGCTTTTCAAGACTGCAGGCGAGTCAGTCTGTCATCTCATCTGGAGAAACCGTTTGGCCTTTTTCTGATACTACATAGCCAGTCCATTTAAGTCAGCTGGCCAACTCTATTAAATAGACACGAAGTGGGCAGGAAGCTGGTTGGGGAGTGGCCTCCTGTAAATCCCAGCTGTTGATTGAGTTGGTACCTCACTTCTGTAAGGTGCACACACTGTGTTTCTAAACTAGGGCTGCCAGTGTATGCCTCATTCACACCAGTGGGCCTAGGTTAAACATTTTCATATTGAAAAACCAAGAGTGAACATAGTGAAATGTAAAATTAATAACAGTTTTTCAAATAAAAATCAGAGACCTCAGGAAGTTCCAAGCTTACCTCTGGCACCCCAGAGGCTTGTTCACTCTCCCTGAAAATGTTTTTAGTGGAAAGATTCAAGCAGCGCTGGGCTGGGCTGTGTGTGTGTGTGTGTGTGTGTGTGTGTGTGTGTGTGTGTGTGTGTGTGTAAGTAACTTCCCAAGTGATAAATCTCCTCCTATCCATTAGCCTGTGTTCTCTGAAAAGCTGATGAGGGAAGAAAGATAAAGGACTAGAATGTAGAACACGTCAGCATTGGGAGGGAGGTGAATTTTGCTTCCTGAGCTCCGTTTACCATTTCTTGAGTCAAGAAGTGGTGTATTTCAAGCACTTAAAGTCTTCATTTCTGGAAGTCTTTACTGAAGGCCCAGTTGTTGCTAGAAGTTGGGGTGGTTGGGTGGCATGTTGGAAATAGAGGATGAGATTCCTGCATTCAGGGAACTTAGCGGTTGTATGATGAATCAAGAGTAAAGCACGCAAAACCCTAGGAAATTAAGAACATCAATGATGGTGTGCTAACTATTGTGTTACGAATGCTAAATGCAGGAGGAAATCAACCCAAAAGCAGGAGCTCATGAGGCCTAATGTAGGATGCAGGCCTCCCGCAGAGAAAACATGGTAATAGAAACTGTTCTTAGAGTAGAGAAGCAAGATGTATGCGCACACAATGGAATATTATTCAACCAAATGAAATTCCGATCCATGTCATAACATAGGCATACCTTGAAAATACTACGTTAAGTGAAATGAGGCAGACACAAAAAGACAAATACTGTATGATCCCACTTACACGAGGCACCTGGAAAGTCAAATTTCATAGAGACAGAGTAGAATAGAGGTTCCCAGGAGTCTGAGGGGGAGGAGAGGGGGAGGGATTACTGTTTTATAGGTATATTGTTTCAGTTTGGGACGATGGAAACACTTCTGTAAATGGAGAGTTCTTTTTTTATTTTTTGAGACGGAGTTTCGCTCTTGTTACCCAGGCTGGAGTGCAATGGCGCGATCTCGGCTCACTGCAACCTCCACCTCCTGGGTTCAGGCAATTCTCCTGCCTCAGCCTCCTGAGTAGCTGGGATTACAGGCACGCACCACCATGCCCAGCTAATTTTTGTATTTTTAGTAGAGACAGGGTTTCACCATGTTGACCAGGATGGTCTCGAGCTCTTGACCTCGTGATCCACCCGCCTCGGCCTCCCAGAGTGCTGGGATTACAGGCGTGAGCCACCGCGCCCGGCCAAATGGAGAGTTCTGATGGCCACACGCAGTGTGAATGTACTTAACGCCACTGTACATTTAAAAGCGGCTAAAATGGGAAATTTGACATTATGTATATTTATCATAGTAAAATGTGTGTGTGTGTGTATATGTATGTGCATACACACATGCATACATAGATATATATATGTGTACATATGTCTAAAACAACCTTGAGCCATGCTGTGAAATGCGCATAGGTTGGTGTTGAGCTCTTCCTAGAAAAAGCAAAGTACACAGGACCGAATTTTGCCCCCGGCCCTAGTGCATTGACAAACAAGAATTGGGAGGGGCTGACAGTTTCCCTGAGAGCCCCGAAGTGATACGTCAGCTCCTACACGCCTTGCTGTTTATGATTTCTTCAAACATCCTCTCTGTCACTTTGCATGTTATGTTGTGGGTTGTCAGGGATCAAGCTGTTGAAAGAGGGTCCCCCTGACTCTTGTGAGATGGCCAGGCGGGTCTCTCTGGTTCGCTGGCCGGCAGCAGATAGCTTTGATAGGAGGGACCCATGCGGCTCTGAGAAAGTCAGCCTTTTTTGCTCCGTCTGGTTGCCAAAATAAACCGGAATGCTTCATTCCAAAGAGAAAGCTGAGTGAGGGGCCTGACAGTTTTATAGGGAATAAAAGTCTCAGAGGGTGGTATATTTTACTTTTTCCTTCCAATCGTAAGAGTTGGGGAAAACAGCTAGAGAGGCAGTTTGGCTTTAGGGGGAACTTCTGTTGGGGGTGTCCAGTGCCTTGGGTAGGTTTGAGGGGGAAGGGCACCATGGGCCTGGGTCCCAGGTGACCATGTCCCTGCTTCCTTAGGCCGACCCGGGGTCCTCGTCCCCTCTGCCCCGTACTCGGGCTGCACGCCAGCCTGTATCTCAGTGCTTCCTTGTCTATAGAACCTCTTGAATAAGGCCCAGCTTTTCCTCAGCTCTTTATCCTGAGCCCCTGGCAGAGTCATTGGGAATGATGCTTAAGAGCGGGAGGGAAGAGGAAGGAAGGAGCCCCCGAAGGACAAAGGCAGACAGATGGGTTTCCAGTGTGTTTCCAATTCGCTGGTCTCCCCATGTCCTTTGAAAAGTTGGATCTTCATTTTAACTTTAATTCTGTGTCAGGGCCTTCCGAGCCTTCTGAGTTTTCCCTAACAGTATCTTAGAGTAAGTAGCTTCATTTTCACATGACGCAGTTGCACAAATTCACTAACTAAAAACTGGAATTGAGGCTCACAGGCCATGAAGATGTTGTGAAGTTACTGCAAGATATTTAACAGAATAGAGACTCGAGTCATCTGTTCATTATATTTATCCTTTTTTGTCTAAGTCACATCAAAACTCTTTGTCACATTCTTTAAAAAAAAAAAAAAAAACCACTTTAGATTGAGGGGATCCACGTGCAGGTTTGTTATGTAGATACACTGTGTGAAGCTGAGGTTTGGGCTTCAGTGGAATCTGTCATCCAAATTGTGTACATGGTACCCAGTAGCGAGTTTTTCAACTCTTGTCCCCGCCCCTAGACACATTCTTAAATATTGCCCAGAGAAGATTCCAGGATATCTCTTCCTTAGGGTCATCCGGCATTTTATGTCTCGGTCACATCAAAACTGGTTGTCAATGAGCTATTAAAAAGCAGCACCATGAAAGAAGTCTCGGTTTCGACCACATGTGATGCATGGGGTCTCGCATTGTGTCTTTCTGCTCCATAGCTGGAAGCACCAGCACCCTTGCAACACATGTCATTTTAAAGGCTCCACTGTTGCAGATTCTGTCTTCTTAGGGCCTGTGGTCAGGAACCTTGTGAAGTGTTGCTGGAAGCTGGGGGTGGGGAGGTGGCATGGAATGGGGGGGGCTGATGCCTCCCTCTCCTGCCTCGTTTTTCTGTGGGCCTCATTTGGTATGCAAGGAAATAAGCCAAACAGCCTGTGAAGAAAGGAAGAATGAGATAGTTTCCTAAGTTGTCTCTGCCTGAGTTGGCTGCGGGTCTGGGGCTCATTCAGCCCTTTGTCCCCCTGTTGAGTGCAGTGCGTGTGTGGTGACAATGGAGTGGCGCAGTTACACTGAGGGCTAATGGTAGGAGTTCCGTCAGCCCATTCATGGAGGCAGAGGAGGGTGCAGGGCGCAGAGCTCGAGCCAGCAAGCAGAGGAAGTCAGAGGCCCTTGTAACGAGCCGAAGATCACAAACACTGCTGTCAGGGCTCCAGGCTTGGGGGGTGGGGGCAAGGGAGGGGGCCTATCATCGTGGAAGTTGGAGGTCTGCCCGACCTCCAGCGCGGTAGGGTACCACCTGTCCAGGCTGACAGACGAGCATTATGGCTTCCCTTTTAATCAGCTTAATTTGGGGCATCTTAACACAATGGCTGGTGCTCTGGAGGCTGCAGGAAAGCTGATGTCCTAGAGCCGCCGCACTTTACATGCATGTAACATCTTTTTATTGGAGGCGCTTTCGTGTTTTTCCAGCCACTTGGGCTATGTTTCTCTTTCTTGGAGATTCTCTGATCTGTCTGTCTTTACTTAGAGCTTAGAAGTCAAGGTATACAGAAAAAGAAAGTTCTGAAATTGGAGGCTTGCCTTCTCTAAAGCCAAGCCGAACTTTTAGCCAGATGTCATCGTGGGGCAAGCCACTTCAGCTCTCCAGGCTCCATTCCCTAGCTGGGAAACGAGAGCACTTGGCTATTTGATTTCCGAAGGCCCTTTAGACCTCCAAATTATCCAAGTCTGTGATGATTTATGGATGTCTTCTTATAATGCAGCCCTTCGGAAACACTAACTCCACTCTGGTCTCAGCTTGATCATCTAACAGAAGCAGGCCGGTTGGATTTAAGATGGGGGGGGTGGTCTTCTCTCCAGATGGCTGCCCCATCCCCACCCCACCCCAATCCCATGCACTCTCCTGCCCTCCTGCTTTGGGCAAGACGGCGATTGTGTGGAGTTGGCACGTCCAGTGGCAGGTATCGGCACCACTGTGCAGTCCCCTCTCCCTTCACCCTCCACCAGCATACAGAATGTATATGCCCTTCGCACATCCAAAGAGGGCCCCTGCCATGTTAAACAAAGGTATTCATATTCGGGGAGTGAGCTCTGTCTCGTGCAAGGGAGAGGCCAAGTTCTGTCTTTACCGTCAGAGAATAATGTTTGACATCATTTATACAAGACAGGGTTTTGCCCTTTTAGTCTTGCTGAGCCAGAATGAGGGATTTGTGTAGTTGAAAGTCGAACTGATCAGCCGGGCGCGGTGGCTCACGCCTGTAATCCCAGCACTTTGGGAGGCCGAGGCGGGTGGATCACGAGGTCAAGAGATCCAGACCATCCTGGTCAATATGGTGAAACCCCGTCTCTACTAAAAATACAAAAATTAGCTGGGCATGGTGGCACGTGCCTGTAATCCCAGCTACTCAGGAGGCTGAGGCAGGAGAATTGCCTGAACCCAGGAGGCGGAGGTTGCAGTGAGCCAAGATCGCACCATTGCACCACTCCAGCCTGGGTAACGAGAGCGAAACTCCGTCTCCTCAAAAAAAAAAAAAAAAAAGAAAGTCGAACTGATCATTGTCAAATTGCGAGGAAGTGGAGCCTGAAAGAAGGTTAGGCAGGACTGCAGAGAGGGGTAGCATCCTGCTTCACCACGAGGTAAGTCTAGAAGAGGGTGGGGAAGGGAGTTCAGAATTCTTCACTCATGGAGTACCTGCTTTGGTCATCCTTTTACCTTCCAGTCAGAGGGATCATTGATCAAGAGCTGGCCAGGCTGGGCGTGGTGGCTCATGTTTGTAATCCCAGCACTTTGGGAGGCCAAGGTGGGTGGATCACCTGAGGTCAGGAGTTCGAGACCAGCCTGACCAATATGGTAAAACCCTGTCTCTATTAAAAATACAAAAATTAGCTGGGCGTGGTGGCACACGACTGTAGTCCCAGCTGTTTGGGCGGCTGAGGTGGAAGAATCACTTTAACACACAGAGGGTCCCTCAGTCAGCCAAGAATCCTGCCATCTCCTTTAGATAACAAAATCTCTTAGGCCTTATGCTTTGGGTAGGATTTGTCTTCCATGGACAAGCATTCAGTTGGAAACAAGTATATAGTCACTGCCTCTATGGTAGGGATGTACTCTGATCTAGTCTCTCTGCCTCCTGGAAAAAAAGAAAAATTGTAAACATCCCCTTCAGCTGTTCCTCAAGTCCCTGTACAGTGGAAGGACATTACACGTGAACTTCCTGGATTCAGTGGATTATTCTCTGCAAGAAAAAAAACAGAGAAAGAAGAAAAGATGAATTTAGATTGTTAGGTTCCGCGTTTCACTCACTGAGTGCACACAGCCGGTGGGGGAGGACAGTTGGGATGTGGGGTTGAAGCTGTGTTCTGGGTCTTGGCTCCTGCCCCTGCACTGTGGAGTGAGCATTTCATCACACCACGTTGATTCTAGCATTTAAGTCAACTCCTTCATGCCGTGCTCAAATGCAGAAAGGGCTGTCTATGTCTATCCCAGCTTTAGATGAAAAACTGATCGGGTGAGACTTGCCATTCCTCTCTCATGTGGAAACTTCCTATCGGACATTCCACAGTAATTTTGACTGTAATCACTTTCTGCCTTTAACCCCCACTTTCATTTTGATTCTGTATTTAATATTAACTTTTTCAGATTATAAGGATTTGAGGTTTTCAAACATCTACCGAAATGTAAGTGCCCCTAGAAACATACTTTTAGGCCTCGTGCGGTGGCTGACGCCTGTAATCCCGGCACTTTGGGAGGCCAAGGCAGGCAGACCACCTGAGGTCAGGAGTTCAAGACCAGCCTGGTCAACATAGTAAAACCCCATCTCTGCTAAAAATACAAAAATAAGCTGGTCGTGATGGCACATGCCTATAATCCCAGCTACTTGGAAGGCTGAGGCAGGAAAATCCCTTGAACCTGAGAGATGGAGGTTGCAGTGAGCTAAGACTGCGCCATTGCACTCCAGCCTGGGCAACAGAGTGAGACTCCATCTCAAAAAAGAAAAAGAAAAGAAAAAAGAAGCATTATACCTTTAGCTTTCGCCACCTAGCAAGTAGTAACCTATGATGACAACACTGCCACATAGTCCTTGAGGGAAAAACTTGGGGAAGATCGGAACAGGGGTAAGGCAGGTGAGGCCCATGAAAATTCTCATTCATTTATTCAGCTCGGCGGGTCGGACAGGGTAAGGGATGCGACCAGGAGATGCCACAGGAAAGTCTGAGAGATGTTAGCAAGTCCAGGAGGCCAGTACCTGACTCCACCTCAGCTTCGTTCAGGGTGGCACGGAGACCCCTGCTGCTGAGTCATGTTGTCACCGTCAGCACTCTCCCCAGCACCAGACACACAATCTTCACTAAAGATTGTCGAGATCTTGACACACAATTCACCACTCTTGACTAAACGCTAATCTATACCTCATTTCAAAGAAATCTGAGGAATTCTTTCAGGTTCCAGGACCAATTTACTGTTACACATAATAGTGATCATTTATTGAGCTCCGCGTAGCACTACACATATACCAGGATCATCTCAGTTGCCCTTTACTCTGAGTGTTTTGTTGTCCTTGCTTTGTGGATGGGGAAACAGAAAAGTTAAATAACTTAGGTGCCACCTGCAAGTATGGTGGGTGGGCAGCAAATACCAATATGCCTGACTAGGTGCATTTTAGATATTTGGGAAATAAAGATAATGCTTTTCCGCTTGGCAAAATAGAAACTCTCTAGGTGGTGAGAACTGCACAGTGAAAGAAACAAAAGGGAGGAGGGCGAATCACGAGGTCAAGAGATCGAGACCTTCCTGGCCAACATGGTGAAACCACGTCTCTACTAAAAATACAAAAATTAGCTGGGTGTGGTGGTGTGCACCTGTAATTCCAGCTACTCAGGAGGCTGAGGCAGGAGGATCGCTTGAGCCTGGGTGGTGGAGGTTGCAGTGAGCCAAGATCGTACCACTGCACTCCAGAGTGAGACGGTCTCAAAAAAAAAAAAAGAAAGAAGTATTTGCAGTTTATGTGAGGGTCAGTACATTGGTCTATTGGCTTCCTTCCCTAGTTCTCAGGGGCTGAGTTTGCTAATGTCATGGCACCTCTAGTAGCCTTCCCCTTTTCTCTGCCACTTCCCAGCCCCCCAGGCAGAAAGCTTCTGGTTGGCCCCTTGATTACCAGGCATCCATAAGCAGACCATCATTTGCGCCAGTGCTTCTCAGAATACCCATCACCTGGGCTCTGCTAAAATGCAGGTTCTGATTAGCTCGGCCTGGGTTGACTGAGATTCTGCAGTTCCAACAAGCTCCCAGGTGATGCTGATGCTGCCGGCCCACAGACCCCACCTGGAGTAGTGAGGTTCCTGGGCACTTTAAGAACATCCCTCCTTTACTTCACATTTATTCCTACTGGAAACTAGCATAGAATTATGCAGGCTAAATTATGCATGTTTTCTTGGTAGGATGCTCTGTGTCCTGTTCCTCTTGCTAACAGCTCTGGTCTGGACCGTTGTTCTAGGATTGTCTCAAA